TGAAGAATCGGAGAAGCCTGTCAAAAAGAAGAAGAATAAAAAGAGATGGCGCAAGAAGAAAGATCCGTCCTCAACATCATCATCGTCTGATTCTAACAAGGCCGCTGAGGTGGAACAAGAGAAAACACCCCCACTTAAGGAAGAATGACCTTGAGATCATCTAAAAGGTAAGTCTTTTATCCCTTGCATATTTATTGCATTTTAGTAGTTGCATCTCATGTTTAAATTTCCCAATAAAAATTTGCTATGCATTACATGTTTAGTTAGTTGCATATAGCTACCCTATGTTAATAAACAAAGTTTGGTAGTAACTAAGCATGATAGGATAGAGTTTGCATTTAAAAAACAAAAATATAAAATAAAATATAAAAGTAGTATTAATAAATAAAATAAAAAGTAAGCTTAGATAATTAAGTATTATTCTAGTAGTAGTAGTTAATCAATAAAGAAAGAATTAAAGAGCTGCCAGAAGATGAATCCAACCTCTGCAAAAGGCAAGCTTGGGGGAGAGCCAATACAACTCAGGTATGCAAAATCTTGAATCCTCTCTTTACAATCAGTTCTTATGTTTCGATATCTATAATAGTAGAATTGTAGAGATAGAGAGATGAATATCTTGAAATTTGCCTTAAAATAAACTCTTCTCTAATAAAATGATGATGATAAGTTCTTTTGGAAATGATGAATAGTTGCTATGTGATACTTTGCAAAAGCTTGTTATACAACCTGATACTTCTTAAGTTTTGAGCATGGTAATTTAGAGTTCATCTTAAGTTGAAAGCTTTTGTGGGTTGCAAATGCTAGAACCAAGTATAAGTTCTTGTGAGATATGTTGTGGCAAGGATTAGAGTAAATCTTTTAACCTATCTAAGGAATGGTAAAAACAACCTGGAGTTTCATTTTGCAAAATGCTAAAACTCTCTTGCTAGAAGTTTCTCAATGGTGATAAGAGCCCAATACATGTTTACCCTGATATGATAAAGCCACTATAAAAGTTGATTGTTTGTTTTGAGCTATTTCAAGCCTTGTTGATCTGAGTAGAGAAACTTGTCATACTTTTTGATCAAGATCGTACACCCCATATACTTATGCTATTCCTACACTGGAAGTACGCAACCATGTGCTTTCCATATGTTATTCACCATTGCTTTATGAGAATCAAAGTTACCTCTCTAGCTATCTTTTATCAAAAGAGAGGCATGGGCTACAAAAAAAGAGAGAAAGAAAATAAAGAGCAAGACGCTCTAGTGCTTTGTTCAAAGTGAGGAACAAAATAAGTAGCCATGCCCTCTCAAAAAGAAGCTAGAGAAGGGAAACTTCTCAAAGGAGTACCACTTCTACCATATATACCACACACATGCACATCTTGATCAATTTGTATGATTTGTTGCTCCTTGTGATCCAAGTGTTTGACTTAGCAATATATTCAATTCAAGTAAGCTATGCTTTTATTCCCTACCTTAAGCTCCACATAAGCCTTAGGATAGGATGTTAAGGCTAAGATCCTTGGCCTTGGTGAGGTTTCAAACACCAATGAGAGACTTGAGTGTACCATCTAAGGAACTTAGGCAAGTTTTCTTTTCAAACATGTTGAAAACCTCTAGGAAGTTTTAGCTAAACCAAAGTAAGGGAAAAGTATCTGTCTGAGCTACTCAATCTTGCAACTGCTTATGTCAAGGTGAAAGCTATAAGTCCCACATTGCTAAGACTGATGATGGATTTCTAATGCTAACATGTTCAACTCAAGAGATAGTATTTGTTTGTATATAAGTTTTTGCAAGGCGTTACATTGTAGCAACTCCTGATCCAACATTATACACCTACATTTATGCTTTTCTAAACCCGCATCTTTGCTAAGGATGAGCAAAGGGGTAACTTGGGGGAGCTTGTTGATGGTCACTAACACCCATTTTGACCATCAAAATTTCACCCAAAAGTAAGATAAAGTAAGGTAAAACATCATCACATGTGTCCAATTTATTTTATAATTCACCTAGTTCCACTGGTACTTTGAGATTTATTTGTATGTAGGAATTTTGGCAAAAGTGGTGCAAAATATGAACATAGGAGACAAGTGGGCATGGCAGGGAGGCCAGGGCCCATAGGGCCACGTCAGCCGATGCCATGTGGCGTCACCCGACGCCACCTTGGCCCCTACCATGTTAGTGATCCATGGGATGAGCTCCAGAAGGCCTCACCACCCTTGATCAATGACGGTTTGATCCAAGGGTGGAGGTTGAGTTGCCATGGATCCATGGGCCCACTATCATCCACTTGGAGGGCCAAACCAACCTCCAAACTGCCATTCTGCCCAAAAAACAGACTTAGCTACCATGCAACCGCCATTGAGGAGCCATCTAGCATCATTGGAAGCTAAGGTGATGGATCCAAGGGCCGGCCGACGCCCCTAGGCGTCGCCCGACACCTTCGGTGGCCACCGACCTCCCTTGGCTACCTACAAGTACACCCACTGCCTCTACACACTATAAAAGGGGCAGTGGTGCTCAGTGGAGAGGTGCCCCATTCAAATTCAAGCATTCCAAGCTCTCTAGCTTAGTAGCTTAGAAGTAGAAGTAGTTTAGTAGTGGAAGTAGAGCTAGAGCGGAACTTCTTCGGAGTCCAGAAGAGTCTTTTGGGTCTCGTATAGCTCCTTTGTAATTCTTTTATTTAGCATTTACTTTATTTCAGTACTTTATTTAGTATTATTGCTTTGTTGTGTTCAAGTACTTGTTCATAATTAGTGAGCTTATGTGCTTGCTCTTAGCATTAGTATCATAGGTTATGTTTTGTTTAGTGGTCATTCGTTAGTACCGGTTCCACCGTCTGGTTAGGGTGCTTTGATCTCATTTCATCAGAGCTCGGATCGAAGTAGTAAGTTTATAGATTAAGCGTAGTGCTTAGGCTATAGATTACCTATGGATACAGCAACGTCTCCGGATAGATTGTGATAGTTGGCAAGTGGTGATAGCCTTGTCCATCGTCTGTAATCCACCATGATTGGTCTAGTTATTAAATCATAGGGCTTGTGGTAGACCTTGTGTATTTAACCCTCCTAGTTGGTAGGAGAGTTGTGCCCCGAAGTACTAAAGAATTCCTCCGAGTCATTTGTTTACCTTTGTTACCTAAGATATTGCTCGCTCTCTCACCTAGCTATCCTACCTCTAGTTTAGCTTGTTTACTAGTTCACCCATTCATTCGCCCATCCATTTACAACATCACCCACCATTCCATTTACCACCTAGCTAAGGAGACCCTTTTCCTTTAGCATTCCTAACGATCATCTATACTCATAGCCTCCCGCCTTCCTTTGGGAAAAATATAAATTCGACACCCGGTACTCACTGGGCTGTGCGCTTGTGAAATTCCTCCACTAGTCATAAGAAACACCAACAATGAGTTTGGTGGAATTTTATAAATTGCAATTAGTGTTAACAAAGTGATGGATCACTCACTACTCAAACTGAACATATTGGTTAATAAGTTTGGACCTTGGATTGAAGGATACATTACACAACCCACAAATACTGTTAGATTTGCAATTGTGTGCAATGGATGGGGGCTAATGGGTCTGAGATGCAGTCATCCAAGGCACAATGGGCATGCTCCCTCCCAACCAAAAGTAACCGCTAGTTCATGATGGTGCATTTGACATTTGAGTAAATTTCATTAACACTACTACGAAAGGTCATAACCTTGGAACCCCTCATCACTGTCAGTTTTGGACCTTTGCGGTGAAAGGTCGACAGTGATGGCCATGGTTATCACCGCCAGTTGTGAACCAGCGGTCATAATATTCTATAACCACTAGTTTAGAGTTTAATCTGGCTGTGATAACAACACAAGCACCGCCGGGTTGCAAGTTGATCTATTGTTGATGATCCTATAATTGTTGTTGGTTTACAAAATGATCCAGCGATGATGAGCTTTTGGTCACAGTTGGTTATTTTTACACACTGGTGGTATCGAGGGTTTGGTCACCATTGGTCAGTGGTGCAGTTCGGTGGTGATGAGCGTTTGATCAACATCGATCAATGGTCCAATTCGGCGGTGATGAGCAAATGATTAATGTAGGTTCATGCATTAACCTATTGGTAATCACTACTAGATCACCGCCTTTAGTTTGAGCCGACATTGATGACCTTCATCAATGGGATAATGCACACGCGGAGGCCACCCAAGCAGCACTCAGTGGTTCTAGCGAAGGATGCCACCAGGTACACGGAGTTTAGGGGTGAGAGAGGAGGAGGAGGTGGTGACATGGGCTCCATCCTAGCCAGCTCACACCAGATATACCTCACGCTCCCTGCTGAGAGCACCTTCTTTGAGGAAGACATCGCCACTTACTTTGGGTATACCATCTTTGGTTTCAACTTTGATGCTAAAGATGCATATATGCGCAGTTAAATTTTCAAGTTCTCATACATTATTACATTATTCGAAACCATGACAACAACATGTTGCACTCTGTAGGCAATATGGTCCAATGCGCGATGTGAGGATCCCATGCTAGGAGATGCATATGTTTTGCTTTGTGAGCTTCTAGGATCCGGAGACGGTGAGCACCATACTCGTGAGGCGCAACCCACATTTTATCTGTGGATCAAGGGTCCTTGTTAAACCCTACAGAGAGAAGTCCAAGAGAATCGAACAATAATATAAATATATGCTAATATGCCTTATGCAAGGAAGGCATATAATTTGCTCTAATTTATTTCTAGCTTGCTTTTATTTATTTTTTCGAAAGCATGCTTTTGTCTGCTGTGAGTTGTGACAATAATTGCAACCTAATAGAACTTTCGGCTATCCCAGGACATGCGTGGACAAGATGAAGCCGATGTAGTGCTACCCTACCCGCTTTATTGAGATTGACGATCATCCGGAATTTATCCCCGTAATGGCCAAATAACCTTATTACCTCTATATTTTACGATGATCCGCAACCACTGACATCACCGACTACTTATTTGTTTGCTCTAGATGAATATGATCCTTCAAGCAGGATGGTGAGAAAGCAACTGGCAGAGAAGTGGGAGAGGATGATCAAGCTCGAGAGGAAGCACTTTGCGGGTGCAGTCAGGCTTGACTCATTGCCGCAACAGTATGCCTACTTCGATTGCAGCATTGGGGACGATGGTGTGAATCCCCACAATTGCCTCCCGACATCAGGTCCATAATGCCATCATTTCTCACCTTTCAGTTCCATCTTTAACCATAAGGTTAAGTCTGCTCTTCTTTTTCCAATTTTTTGCTTGCTAATCAGATTCCAAAGACGATGTCGACCAGCTGATGGACATCCCCTCATGATGCCAGATTCCTTGGAAATAGTCTCCATGAGCCAAGCTCCCCAAACACAGTCAACCAACAACTACGATGACAAAGAGAGGCACCATGTTATTACTTACTAGGCAATCAAACATTGCTTTACACGCTAGCATTAGTCTTGGTATGTCATCTATGTAACATTTCAGTGGATAACACATTCCTAATTGCAGCAATCAGATCAAACTCCTCCTAGAAAGTCCATACACATCAGCCGTGCTGGGTGGAAACAACATATCCACAATCATGTAATGGGAAGGAAAAGGGAGATAAAGCATCTTGGACCCTCAATAATAAGTGATTGGTTCATTATTTAAGGTCCAATGGTTGACAACGTTTTTACACAGGACAAGATATATATGAAACAACAGTTCTTTTTGTTGTAGATAGAAAGGAGGAGAACTCTCACTGGTCTTAATTAGGAGTCACAGGACAAAGACAATTCGTGTTCATTTTATACATTAATTAGCATAGAGGGATAGCAGCATGCAGGGTGAGGACAGAAAGAAAAGCCACACTGGTAAGTTTTATACAAGTGTGTAGTCTGACTGTAAGGAATAGAATAACGTGACACGTTAATTAGTTGTGTTCTAATAACATATAATGATACATGCATATTTGTGTTGTATCATTTGTTTCCAAAAGTTATGAACCAATATTAGTTATTGTTTACAAAGTTACAGTAGAAGTAGTCATCCCAGATAGTCTATTTGTACGACTTTGAGTCATTAATGAATTAAAGGCACAATTTTAGTTTCATGATCTATTACTGTTTGTAAATTTGTCATCCTTGAATTTTTTTCTGATTGCAATAATCATTCCAAAAGAATTAAACTTTTGTGGATTCTCTTATAATAAGAACATGTCTTCATTGCCTCCGATTCACCACCGTCCACACTCCATATTTCTGTGGTGCCAAACTGGCTTAATAAGCACATATTTCCTATTGCATAATACCCAACACTGCTCACTAGTGATCCTCTTCCACTCATGGTTTACTACCTAGCCACCCCGCTCCCACACCTCCATCACTAGTCAGGTATTACCCAATAATAACTCCCTCTCCCACACCTCCATCACTAGTCAGGTATTACCTAATAATTACTCCCTCTATATCTATTTGTTTAGCAACCAAACATCGAGAGAGGGGGCGAAGAAAGGGAAGTTGTATAAGTGATCAGTCGACCCCTCCCCCTCTCCACCTTCCCCCTCTCCCCCTTTTATATAGGGAAGGTGAGAAGGGAGGTTTTCATTATTTCCCCTGGAGGGGCTTGTATTTTACGAAAGAACCTCTAGGGGTGACAAATGGGCCCTATACATTATCTTAGAAGCCCCCAAGCTGTGTAATTAGGCCATAGAAACAATAATGGGGCCTCTAACATAAAATACACCCCCAACAAGAAACATAGTGCTTTCTCAAAAAAAACCCATAGTGAAACAACTTGCTTTAAGAAGCTTGTTGTTGGTGTTTTCAAGCTATCGTATGAAAACCTAGGACTTGTATTAGTTAGTAGAAGGTCCTAGGAAAGTAAAAAAGCCTATATCAGTAGGTCCTAGGATAAGTCATGGAACCCATGTCACATTTGTTATGGATTTTCCTTTTTTAAGAGGACGGTGACCAATATGCTAGCAAATAATTGTGCAAAGTTAATTTCCTTACAACACATCAGCATTTGTATTGATTTTTCTCGTCTCTCCCGAAATGGAAGATTACAACTTGATGACATCATAAAGAAGGTCTTAGTTTCGTCTAAAATAAGGGTTTTCCTTGTTACAATGAACCACACGCTTTTACATCCATTACAATCTCATGCTTACATGTCAGAATTCTGTAACAAAAGAATCAATAATCTTCTCAACTTCACCAAAGTAAGACAGAACATGCCCATGCACAAGTTATAACAGCATGACCAAGGTATAGAGTGTTTAGTTGGAGTACTCAACTCAACATTCTAGGCAGTCAACACTAAGATAGCTACTTCGTCTATTTAATCTCAGCTTTTTCAAGACCAGTTAGTCGGCTAAGTCAAGATTTTAGATCAATAATTGGACATCAGATTTCAACTTAGTCAGCATTCAAGCACAAAGCCACAACTTAGTCGGCACTATGCTCAGGGGGCTCTTGTAAGCCACAGCCTAGTCGACACTAAGCTTGGGAGCTACATCATTGCTATGGCTTAGTCGGTTCTCCTCTGACTAGCTCGGGGGCTTAGAATCAAGAAGAATTTTAAGATTTTATTCAATAAGGATTGGGTTACAAGTCTGATTTGGAGAAAAGTACACGGCCTAGTTGGTTATCAGAAGATACAAACACTCTAAGTGTTACTCGAATGGCAACACTTGCCTCGACGCGCAGTGCATCAAGGTCTGACAAAGACATAGCAAAGCTTCCTAACCTACATCTTTAGATGCCCAAGGGAGTGAGCATGACGCTTCCTGAGGCATGCTGCAGAATCAAGCACGAAGAATCACCAAGTAACCTGACTGATGTTGTCCATCTCACAGTCACAAGGATTCTTCTAGCTGCAGTTGATAGCCATTTGGCTTTGCATCTGCATGGGAATAGCCTAACACTACTCCATATCACAAGAGTTCTTCTAGTTGCAAGACAAGGTTGCTATCAGCGACTCTGACTATGCCCGGGGGCTCAAGCATCTCAAATATGATCATATTCTAGGATTGGAGACTAAGTTTTGTAACAAGAGTTTCATTGGTGGGTTGATGAGCTCGCTATGGGGTATTTATAACCCGGCTTTCACGTCTATAGACAGAATCCACGTGGTGCTAGAGGACAGAGTTCTCGGGCCATGGCAGGATAGTTCACGTGTTGCGCTAGGGCAAGGACAGTCTATTTTGCTTTTACAGCGACAAGGACAAGATTCTAACTACCCATGTGACTGCATAGTACTCCACGGGTGCCTTGTAGATAATTTTGGACAGGACAAAGGATGCTTTCTACTATTAGCATGTGACTTCAAGTACTCAACCACTCACAGACGAGCGGTCATTGATCATTGTCCTGGGGTGGTTACTCGACTGCACCCTTAAGGATGTCTCAAAGATCCTATAATCAACTCTGGGTAGTCGGTTTTAGGCTCGGGGGCAATAGGATATATATCCTCAGTGGATGCATTCAAATTTCTTCGAAAGGAATTGGAATAATTCCAAAAATGTCCCTCCAACTCTTTATGCTAAACAGCAAGAGGCTCGGGGGCTACACTCAGTGAGTGCACTTTGCGAGGAAAGCACACACCACTCGAAGACTTCAAGAGCACTTCATGTCTTCTCTCTGAAGGTACTCGGATGCTACTTGATTCTACTCGGCCAAGTCCAGAAGATTCAAGACGACTTCGAAGATCAACCATGAAGAGCTCGAGGGCTTGATGGACCAATATCCTAAGGGTTCCCTATAGGGCCGACTATGCAGCAAGGAGGTGGGCCAACCCAAGGTCTGCCTAGAGGGCGTGGAACAAGGTGTCGTGTTCTCTAAGGCACAAGGACCAATCTAGTCAAATTCTAGGAAAGTCTAACTCTATGATTAGATTAGAACTCTTTTGTCGTCACCGACTAGGACTAGATCAATGCTCGTGCCCTCTGGACTATATAAAGAGAGGCAAGACCACCCCCTTGTACAACATGATCATACACAACAATCTAATGCAAGGCAATATGCCTAACTAGAAGTAGGGAATTACGTTATTCAGCGTCCTGAACTAGTATAAATCATTGTCTTTGCGTTCACCATCGAGTTTGGCTTACGCCGAAGCCCACCAAACATTGTTCTAGGTAACCCCGTAACGTGTTGCCGGTCATCAAACACCAACACCAACGCGCAGAGTGAGAGCCTAGAGCCGAAGAAGGTGGAGGGTGCGGTCATGAGGTCGGAGGTTCAAAGAGCAAAGGCAAGAGGACAGGAGAGATGAGGAGTGGCCAAGATCTAGAGTATTGGAGATGTGGCCGATGGTGCAGACAACTCACAGGAGTTGGGGATGACGATGAGGAGAGGGGAGGGTGGGAGGTAGTGGTGGAGCGTTGAAACGGTCGAGCAGAGGAGAGGAGAGTGAGACATAGAGGCGGCAAGGTAGGGTTTGAGTAATGAATGAATTAGAGTTTGGAGGTAGCCTGGAGCGGGGAGATGGAGTATATCTCCTCCTTAGCCACAGGGTCGGCACCGGGTCAGCATGCCCGCTACCAATGCAAGCTATGTCGTCGCGCTCGTACTGGGCCAAAAAGGCGGGCTTCGATCCTAGCTACCAGGCTACGGGCTTTTTGGGCATCTATAGAGCCGAGATGGCCGGCACTTTCTATTTTCATTTTTTGATTAATATATAATTATTTAATGGTTGTATCTATTTTAAAAAATCAATGGCTATGATTTGTTGAAGCTCTTATCTTCTAGAGGATAACTGGAGTACCAGAGTCCCGGCATACACATTATATATTGTCCATAAATTAAATGCGCCCTGTTCGCTTGGCTTATAAGCCGTACTTTTTCAGCCAACGAACAATATTTTTCTCTCACAACGAATCAGCCAACAATACTTTCAGTCATGACTTATCAGCCAAGCGAACAGGGCAATGGCCTTAACCGCTGCCTGATCAAGATATGTTCTAGTCTTGTGTTCCTTCTCCAAGGTGAGAGCATCTCCAACAGATTTTGTAAAATTTAGACTCAAAATCTTTGATTCAGAGGTTCTCTAAAAAGAGTAGCTATGTAAAAGTTAAGCTTTCTCCAACAGATTCTTTATTATCCGTTGTCTATTTTCAAAAACTGCCAGGTCAAAAAAAAAACTGCCACGTCACCTACTAATTTTGCATATTTTAATCGGATTTTTTAATCTAGTTTGTACTTCTTCCACCTTCCAAGGGAGACGCGCACGCTGCATTAGCTCACGTGGCACGGATAGCGAGCCTCGGCAGATCGGAAAATTTGGTGACCGATAATTACGGGATAGACGACGAGGAAAAAAGGAAAACGCGATAGGCAATCTGTTGGACGTGATTTTTTGGCTCGCGCTCGGTAAACCGGCTTTCACGGAGATTATACAGAGGCCGTTGGAGATGCTCTTAGACGAGACACATGTAC